AGCCACTCTGGCAAATACAGAGTCTCTACCATGGATAAATGATTTATATTTAAAATCATTTAATATCCATAATTAATTTGCCATGGCATTGTTCACTTTTTCTTAGAAATAATTGGTTTCTATTTTCTCCTTCATGTCTCTCTGACTGACCACGAAATGCTCATAGCCTGATTATATTTCATTTATTTTTTCACAATATGTACACCCTTTCTTCCTCTCAAGAAGGAAGAGTTTCAATGCTATAATAATATTGAAATAATTCTTTAGTTGGGACCAATCTTATCCCACCTGAAATGTATGCAGATGGGCTCAAATTAGATCCTGGACTCCCCCTATTCTCTGATTTTGTTGTTTCTATTGTTGCAGGCTTCTTCTGCATATTTTTGCATGATAGGTGTTAATGCAAATATTGCAGTAGTTAAGAATGGAAACCCTAGAGCCATATTGCCTGGGCACCACTGAGACACCTTGAAGCAGCTTAATCTTTCTGTGCCTGAAGTTTCTCATCAGTGAAATGGGAATAATAGTAACCTAACTCTTACTTGTGAAAGTTAAATAAGTTAATACACAGAAAGTATTTAGAATGGAATTTAAACTGTTATACACATGAAGACACCATAGTTTTACTTTTATTATTTTCATTATTGTGATTATTATTTACAAGACATACCTCACAGGGAAAAGTTGCTGATCATCTAGCAGCTTATCCTTCAATAAAATGCACAGTGTATTTTTCAGTGGGGAAATTTTTGGTTTGAATTACTGGAATTTCATCTTTGTCTTGGGAACAAGTAAACTACCTCAAAATAAATTCTACTTAATAATTTCGCAAAAGGAAGGCAAAATAATTTTCTTGCAAATTACTCTGTATGTTTGTGATGATGTGAATAGTTGTTAAAATCTCAGAAACCACCATGATATACTGAATATTTGATATATTCAATTTGCAAGTTGAATAAGAATTTGTAAAATTATCTTATAAACAGTTACTAACTCTGTTTGAAGATGGTAACGTGCAGTTTATCCAAGCTAGTATAAGTGATATATTTAGCTCTACTGAAATGTGACCTAGATACATTAATGTAAGAGAGTAGTTTTAGAATTATTTGTTTATAAGACTAGTTACTCCCACTTTGCAGCTGTTTCTTCTTTCAGAAGCTTAGAGACTAACCATCCATCTAAATTCAACTTACAGGAAAAATGTAGCTTGATCAAGCCACAGTTTTGACTTGAGAATCGCCAAATGGGAATTGCTCCAGGTGTTTTCTTTTTCTTTCTTTCTTTCTTTCTTTCTTTCTTTTTCTTTTCTTTTCTTTTTTCTTTCTTCTTCTTCTTCTTTTTTTTTTGTTATGGGGTTAATATGTGAGAACAGATTTATACTCCAATCACATTTTGAAATCTTTTCTTTTCTTTTTTCTTTCTTCTTCTTCTTCTTCTTTTTTTTTGTTATGGGGTTAATATGTGAGAACAGATTTATACTCCAATCACATTTTGAAATTAGTAAGGCATTCAGGGGGAAAAGTACAAGATAGTATTTGATTCTGTGAAAACAGGATAATCTGTGTTTTATTTTCTAATTTTTTCATTAATTTATATCCTCATTGGAATAAATGAATCACATAAAAAGGTATGTAGTTAAAGTGTACCCATATTTATTATATGAAATATGGATATTTGAAAAAATTAAATATTGTGAAATGCTATTCTTGTTGAAGTAATTCTAATATTTATCTTCAAAGTATGTAAAAATCAACATGATCATATCATGTAGTAGTAAGACTGAATGCATTTTGTGGAAATGTGTCACTTAAATGCTATTTTTATTAAAATCCTCATCTATTTTTATTAGTTCAGATCTTTATCTATCTACAGATTTATATCTGCCTATTTGTATATAGGTATGTATGTATATGCTTATATACACATACACATATTTTCTTATAGAAAGCTTAAAACTTCATGAAGACTTCTAGGGCATACAGAATAGTAGTTCCCTGGAGCAGTAGTGCCTAGCTGGGCCCTAACAATGAAAGCTCTGAGAAATATCTGTTCAACCCCATGAATAGTTTTTATAGCAAATTTTATAATCAGGAAAGAAAAAAAAGTCAGACAAAACCATGATCCCCCAGTTCTTCTGCTTTCTTTTATTCTTGGTCCTCATGTGGAAATTTCCTTAGGGACTTGGATGTTAAAGATGAGGAATATAAGAACTGAGCCCCTCCAATCCAATTGGTGGGAGAGTAATTCGAAAAGGTTCAAACAGAAGGTTTTGCACTGCCCAAGCCTGGGTGGGAATGGATTTACTGGCAACCAATTAGTTGTCAATTCTTCTCCGGGATTGGTTGCCTTGGGATATGCTCCAAAAGGAGTAGGAAGGAAGAGCTTAGTCACGACCCACACAGGCTGGCTCTCAAATCTCAGGCAGTTAACCTGCACTGTCTCACAGAGAGGGGAGAAGGAAATCAGAATGGATTCGTCAGATGTTTGGCAAAGCCGGACAGTCCTCCAAATGTCCGAAGAAATTTGCCTGGACTGCCACTACAATAAAATATCAGTATACCAATAGCTAGAAGTAGAGGTCTGTTGCTTGCAGTCAGCTTTTCTGATTTCTATTTCCTTTCATGTGCTTTGAAGGTTAAATTACAGTTAACCAACATCAATACAACTGCAAAACATCTTGTGGGGAAGAAGTAAAAAGCAGGATTTTATAATTAATTTTTTTTTAATCTAGTTTTTACTAAGGATGTTTCTCCAGTAAAGGCATATCCAAATCTTTGGACATACACTTAAAAAAAAAAAGAGATGAAAATCATCCAAAATAATTTGAACTCTCTGAAATTCCATATAAGTGGATCATATGTCAATGAGATTACGAACCTAATAAGGGTGTTAATGAGAAAAGCTGAGTTTTTCTTGTTTTTTTGTTTGTTTGGTTGTTTTTTTTTTTTTTTTTTTTAGAACAGATCAAAAGAATTGATACACATTTTGAAAGAAAAAAAAGCTATTGAAACCCAAATCCATAATTCAGTGTTATAATCCAGGGAAAATACCAGAGTGGTAAGTATGAGACTAATATATGAAGATATTTACAAAATTGTGACAGTCATGAAAGAGCACAGCAATTAAAGCTGGGAAGAAACCATGAACTGCTCAACTTCCATTATCAAAATATAAACAATTGAATGGTAATATAAATGGCAAAGGGATAGAGATTTTAATGACGATTGACTCATAGAAATGGAAGAGAGGAAACTATAGAAGGAAGTGAAGTGTTCACGCCAAGTATAAGACGTTTGGATTGCCTGGTTGCAAGGTTTTAAATGGCATGCTTTTTATCTTTGTGAATTTCAATTAGCTTCTGCAATGGGCAAGTCAGGAAAGGAATATTAATGATGGAGGAGAAAGCTGGGTGGTGTTCCATTCTTCACAGAGCCAGCTAAATAACAGAGCAAATGTTTGTTTAGGTTGTAGCATATTAAATGCTCATTCAGAAAGTGGTGATTAATAGGTTGAAAAGGACAGCTTGAAATATTTACAATGTAAAGGTTTTACTCTCCTCACATAATCTTCAAAGCAAAGCTAAAATTTACTGTAGATTAGCAGTGCCTGTTATGAAAATGCCCCATCTAGGAGAAACATCTGAATTTTGGGTGCATAACTAATGAAATAGAAGTGTTTGGCATGTGTTGACTCTGAATGTAAAATGACAGCAACATATCAGCGTGTTGATCTTTTTCTTTTAAAGTGTCTAACGTTTCTAACAACTTCTGGAAGAGATAAACCCCGGCTCTGCTTTGCCTTAGTAGAATGTGAATAACATGTGCAGTAAAAAAAGGAAACTCTCTCTCTCTCTTTTCTTATTTTTGTTCAAGTTGCACGTTTGGATTTTATCACCTAAGATAAAATGGAAGAGAAATGAGACAGATCAAACACACAATGCTGAAATTGTACATGGGATTGGAATTACAAGTCCCTTTGCCAGCAAAAAGCCCTAAACGGGGAAAACCTCAAATCTTCCCCCCCCCCGGGGAATGAATTGCAGAAGTACTAGAAGCACAGCAGGTCCCTTTTCGCCTGGGGGTATCGTGAACTTTTTAGAGATGTTGATTGAGTTTGATCGCTTGGTAGGGAGGACGCCTGTGAAAAGAGCTTGGGGAGAACGTGATTGCTGAACGTGAGAGGGAGGTTTCCTGAAGTGTATAATTTGTAAATGGACTTTACAGACTGGTTCCAGAGAAGTCTCCAGCCTCAGAGCTTTGATAGAACATTGGTCCTGACTGCAGAAGTGTCGAGGAACGGTGCTATATGAAGAAGGCTCAGGAAATCAAAGAAACTTCCTGCTGTCTGATTCCACGCAGCATGCTTTGAACTTGGTCCTGTGTGGATGCGCTGATGACTAAAGAAAGGCGTGATGAGCCCCCGTCGCCCTCCAACGGGCGCGGTACCTCTTTACCTCTTCTGGGCAGCCACGTCTCTCCACAGCCAGCCGGGGGATGCCCTGGGGCGAGCGGCAGGGCGCGGCCCCGGCGCTCTAGGGCCTGGCGAACACCCTGCCTTCTCGACTCCGCACCGACACCCACCGGCAGCGCCCCCAGGAACCTCGGGGCCTCTCGGGAGCCCCGGCAGGCGGCTGCGGGGAGCAGCCCGGGGCGGCGCGTGGGCTTTTCTCCTCCGGCGCAGCGTGGGCGCTGGGAGTGGCGCTCGGGGCGCACCCGGGCTCCCGACGCCGCCCAGAGCTGCGCCGCTGCAGGTGCCTGGAGGGCGGCGGTCGGTTCCCCGGAGTCGGGCCGGGGGTCTCTGCGTTCCCGGGAAGGTCGTTAGCCCTCCTCCTCGTCCTGGCTCCTCCTCCTCCAGGCGCGGGGCTCGTGCCCGCCGCCGGTGCGCGCTCCGCGCCTCGGCCCGCGACTGCCCCCCGCCCCGCCAGCTCCTGCCGACGCTCCCCTCCTCCTCTTCCTCCTCCTCCCGTCACCGCCTCTACCGACGCCTTCGCCTCCTTCTACTCCTCGCGCTCCCCTCCGGCTTCTACCAGCCCATCGCTCCCCGCCCGCTCGGCTGCAGCAGTCTCTCTCTCTTCTCTCTTTCCACCCCCCCGCCCCCAAGTTTCCTATATCCTCAAGATCAGGGCAGAGGAAGGAAAACACTGAATTCTGCTTGCTGTTTCAGGTAGGGTCGCACACGCTGGTCCCCACAGGGACCCTTTGCCGTTTGCTTTTGCTTCGCGTGCATGCCTCATCTCCCCTTACCCCACTTTGCGATGCTCCCTGGAAGCGGAGGAGGCTCAAGTCCCCCCGCCCCCTCCTCCCCAGCTCATTAGAAAAATAATCTCGATATTCATCATCGGAAGCATATTTGCAACTACGGTGAGATCCAGGACGCCTGCCGGTCAGCACGTTAGCCTGGCTCTGCTATAGTCTTCAACTTTGCACACTGTGGTTGCCGCTGCCCGCCTGGCTGGTGCTTGATCCGGGAGCCTCGCGCTCCTTCTCTTACTGTGATCCGCAGCTCCTGAGCAGCTGTCAAACGCGTCGTTTCGCAGCACCGGATCCGAACCCGGCTGCCTAAAGACGTGATCTTAGGCAACCTTGGATGAGCAGAGAGGGAGATTATTTTATTCTATTTTACGATAGGGGGAGTGAAGAAGTGAAGACGTGAGGACCGCAGTTGACTGCAATGAAAAGAATAATTGAAAGAGTGGGCTGGCTGCCCCTTGCCTTTTCCACTGTGGTTGCGGGGGTGGCTTTGGTTGAGGGGCTTGTGGCATGAAGTGTCCATCTGCTCGCCTTTTCCACTCTCCTCTCCAACCCGTTCCCTTCTCCAGCTCGTATGTCAGTTTAGAATCCCGGGTGTTATTATTACATGTGTGCACAAAACAGTGCTTGCTGACGATGGGGCTGAGGGAAGTTCCTGGCAAGGCAAAGTCTTGTTACCTGGTCATCTTGCTGTTCAAAAGAAAAAAAAAAAGAAAGAAAAGAAAAGAAAAGAAAAGAAAAAATCCCTCCCCCAATCATCTCTCCCTACACTTAGTCCCCTGGAGTAATCTCCATAGTTTTAACTCCAATTCCCAGTTGAAATAACATTCTTTTGGGTTACTTGGATGTTGAGACCAAGGCAATTTCAAGTACATTTTGTTTTTCTCTCATGGCTTTGCAAAGAGAGAAGATGAAGGCGAAACTGGACGTCTACAATATGCAGTTGCTGCTTCTTGTTGTTTTGGTGTGGGACCCAACCAGGTGAGACATTTATTGTATTTGACTCTTTTAATTCAAATTTTAAATAGGTTTTTCTTGAATGCCATCAATACAGGGATGTTTTGAAGAATTATTTCCCACAAAAAAAGAGTTCTACCAGGAAAGTGTACTGTGAAGTGGCAGACTACAAAAAGTTCACTGTTCCTTGTTTTTAGCGATAAAATGCAAAAGTGAAAAGAGCTATTTTCTATACAAAACAACCACTGAAGAAAAGAATGTCCTTTCAATGGCATATTCTTCAGGGAACTGAAGTGGTTAAATTATATGCACTTCTAATAACAACAAATTCAGTACAAAAGCTAAGTTTTTCTTCAAGCCAGACAGAAAAGTACCAGCTAAGTGATTTGTGTTAGCTTATTATTTTTTTCTTTTTTTAATGGTTTTTGCTCTTTTAGAAAACCGAAATGATGTGTAAGTTTTAAACCTCTAGGTGGAGGTAGTATACAACTTCCCAAATTACAAATAATGAAACAAAAGCTTGATTTATTAGTCAACTTTTCATGTTATAAATTTAGAGAGCTCTTATTTTTCACATGGTTACTGTCATACAGAGTACTTATTTCAAATATGTAACTGGTTTTCTTTTTGCCTATGCTCTTCGAACATGAAATTAATTTTTATTATGATAAATTAATCTTAGTTGTAGTCCTTTCTAATTTTTGTCATCAATGGGAATCTTGTATCTAATGCCTTTAGGGTATGATTTTCAAAAGACCAGAGGACTTAAAATACAAGTTTCATAAGAATGTTCCTATAATCATTCTGTTTTAAAAAATCAATGTCTTTATAATACCTTTAATTCCTTTTTAATTTTTTTATTTTCCTGTCAAAAAATGGTCAAAATATGAAAATATTTTCTAGAAGTGATAAGAAATCTATTTGTAAAGCCTTATTTTTAAGTGGACAATATCTATTCATTTAACATCTGCATATTGACTTTAGAAAGAAAATATAAAATGTGATTTAAAAACCCTTTTGAATAAAAATCTATGTGGAACTTTATGACTCTTTTAGTTATTGGTTTTAAAATTAGCTTAACTAGGTGATACAGAAACTTTTGAGGCTGAAAGTTGTGAACTAATATACTTATTTAATTTATAAATGTTTATGTTGATATCAGTGTTTTAGCATTTTCTATGGTCTTATAGCAATATTTGTTTGTAGTTGGTTACCAATTTTCGATGTATTATGACTATTTTTAGCTACTAGTTCTGTAATCATTTAAGTGCAAACGGACTCTGTCAATGATATTTTACACAATACCTCTTGGTCAGAATATAATTATATATAATCTTTGATTTTAAAGCAGTGAGCAATCCATGATTAATTAATAATCATTGAAAATCCTCAGTGCTTTACCATATTTCTCTCCACTAGTTTTCTGTTCTATATTTGACCAGTTATTCTCATGCCAGTATTTTATTCTATTATATAAATGATTCTTTTTTGGAGCCAGTAATTTAAATCTCTGAATCATTCTGAGTTAAAAAAAAATGGCAGTGAAAAGGGACATTCTGTTTTCTATATTCAGTTGCTCTTGCACCAAATTGCTGGATGTCACAAAATCAGATGTCTGGCTTTGTGATGGAGAAGTAATGGAGAATATCACCATTCCCAAACCTTTTCTGGTGATATTTTAAGACCACCTGTTCTTTCTACAAATTTATATCACCAGAAAATAGTAACTGGGCATTTTAATCTTTATGTAGACCCTATGGATCTAATCAGGAGAGACTAGTCCTCCAAGATCCTCTGTAGCTGGGTGTGTGTTGCTGATGTTTTCTGAGCCCACCTCCACCTCCTGGCTACAGTGGAGCCTGGCAAACAGCCAGCGGAGTTTCCCTGATGTCTATATTGCACTTGGCCATTGGGTGGAGGTATACCCAAAGTAAGAAAATCATCTTGGTTTAAAAAAGAAAAAGACATGAAGAGAAAAAGAAATATATTTATGAAGAAGATACAAAAATGTTGTACCCCCAAGGAGGCAATTTATTTTCCAATTAATATTCAAAATACTGAAGAATTAGTTCAGGAGTCCATTTGATAATTATACCTTTCTGCAGAAATAACATTATTAATGCAGAATAACATTACCAATAGTGTCTGCATGTGATACACAATCATAATGTATTCTAGGCAATTAATTTTAGGGAAAAAATGAATTGCTTACATAGAATATAGTGGTAGAAAGCTCAGGTAGTTTTAACATCAAACTTCTGATAATCTACTATTTTGTATTCATTTTTAACAGCATGTTTACCTTCCCTGAAGACATACTGGTGTTTATAGAAGTGAAGAAGAGTAGGAAAATGGGTGACACTAGTAGCTTAGGGAGACTTAACATTCAAATCAAGGAAGAAGAGCATGTTGGCACTTGCAAAACACACATATGTATATATATCAGCTTGTAAAATTATCTGTTTAGGTTGGTGCTGGCTAACATCCAAGAAGATGAAGCTAAAAATAACATTACCATCTTTACGAGAATTCTAGACAGACTTCTGGATGGTTACGATAATCGGCTTAGACCAGGACTTGGAGGTAAAAATAGTTTTCTTTTCTCTAAACTCTCACAAAATAATGCCTTTAAAAGTTAAGGGTAACATTTCTATTTTAATACATTTTGTATATGAATGCATCACTATGTTTTAAAATTTACATATAGAAGAAAGTTAGATATATGAAATAAACACTATCTGTGATTCTTTTTATACCCATGTATTTAACATATCTTTAATAGAATGACTAAAGTCATATGGAGCCCAGGCTTCCTTCATGAATAGTTTTCAAATTAATTTATTTCTAATGGTTAAGTTTTTCAAACTTAGAGTATGTTAAAGTCTAACATTATTGAGCAGACATGCTTGTGTAGTATTTTTGGTTTCTTTCATCATATTTTATAGACGCCTATTTTCACCTGGTTCAGATATGCAGAAATAAGGAACATAAAAACGTAAAGGAGTATCTGGGTTGTATTTTGACAAACAGATTTTTTAGGATTCTAAGGTAATACTTCTTTACACACATATATGATATTTCTAAAAGACAGCACAGATTTGACATTCTTGAAACTTTCAAAGACATTTTAGATATACATTAGCTAAAGGCATTAAATTATTGGGTTATGGCATGGTGTGACTTCAAATTTAAACATTAATTTTCATTCAAAAACAAATTTATTTTTATCCAGAAAATTAAGGGAAATTAAATGATTAATATGTTTAAGTTTAATTATGACATTTATCACATGTATGTTTCATAATTATTAAGATGTTTAATTTAATAATTAATTCAAAGTTAAGACAAATTAGTTGAACACTTGATACTGATCAAAGATTTATATAGTTAGCCTGGTTATTGCCAAGTTTGGTGACTTTGCAATATTAAGTTGCTTGAAAAGATTTTTTCTTGACTAAATGCCTGAATATTTATGTCATATTTACTTTGAGCAATGTAGGTCATTGTTAATTTTATGTACATCTTTGGAAATTGCATGATTCGAATTGCCCAGGAGGTGATAAGAGTCAGAAGAGAACCAACTTGTTAATTAATATGCCACTTAATTGCTATTAGTTTTTGACTCGAGTCCCTGACTGATACCTCGTATTTTAAGAGAGAAGTCCTAGGAAGAAATAATTTTCAAAAATATGACAGATTGTATCCCTAAAGGAAAATTTAATTATTTAATATACACTTACTTTCCACAAGGAAAATCAAAAGGAAAATAATATCTCCTTAATAATTAATATGTCTAAGGAGCATGGATATAAGGAATTATTTGTGTTAGCATATATAGCAGTGAAATATAGTCAAACTCAGGTAAGTAAAGTAAGCTTTGCATTAGGCTGTCATAATTCATGATGGTGGTTTAAGAGGTAGATTGCACTAAGGCAGATCTCTTTTCTAAGCCATAGATTTTATTATTTTAAATAAATCATGTGCTGTCAAAAAATCTTAAAATATTCAAGCTAGACCTTGGACTTTGTCTTTTTTGAGTTTTTAAGAAGAATATTTACCCTCTGGATGTATGGTCGGGTAGTAGAAACTACCTGTTTCGGGACTTGGGTATAGCCATCCATCTCTTCCTATTTCTTTGGTAATATCTTACATGCTTTTTGTTTCTATTGCTTGCACTCAAATATAGATCCTCATTATCTTGTTATTTGGGTTAATGCAATATACTAAGTGGCCTTTCTTGTCTTATTGTCTTCTTTCCCCAATCCTCTGATATTGAACATTTGCTAATATCTCACTGTCAGATTAGTCTTCTTTTAGTTTTGCACTGCTTTTCCCGTGCCACTCTCTTCTCTTGATCAGATACCTTTGATGGCTCCCCATTGCCTTTTGCAAGAAGGTAAGGGATAGTGGAAGAGACCGTCCTTGGAGGCAGACAGATCTAGACTCGAATTCTGCTCACACACACATAACTGTGCCTTGGCCAGATGATCTCTGTTTCCTTTGATTTAAAATGGCCATGCTATATCTGCCTTTCTACCTAATAGGGTCATTGAGAGGATTACATAAAAAGTAAACACAAAGTATATGCTACATACTAGCAGTGCAACAAATACCAATTTCATCTCTGTGTTAGCTTCCTAATTTAACTAGGTTTTCCACAATCTAGTTGTCTGGCTTTATTTACCACTTTACCTTACCGCCTTGTCTGTCCTGCATTTCAAACACCAACTATTCATTTTCTCTTGATAGTTCATTCCCATCTGCTCCCTTCATCTTTGGTCATTTTATTCCCTTTGACTGCAATGATTTTTTTCTCATCCTCTCTGCCGATCTAAACCCTACCTTTCCTGTAAAAATCATCTTATACTGGTCTTCTTTAGCAAAGATCTGTCTTAACTGAATTGAAGTTTTCTTTCTGTTGAATTTCTTTAGCAGTTGTTGGCTCATTATCTCATTTAGTACTTACTATGTGTTATCTTGTATTATTTATTCCCTTTTTATATGTCTCTTGTTACCTTAATAAGATTGTAAGCTCATTGAGGCAAGATATTGTATCATAAATCCTCCGTGTCCCAGCTACTCAATATTAATTTGCATGTCGTGGCCATAAACTAAATGTTGATTTCTTGATTAGTTTTTCTATGACCAGTTAATCATCTGGAAAATGGGACTACTCATATCTAGTTGACCTTTTAGTCAGGAATATTGACGTGATGTGTTGACTATCATGCTACAGGAGGGAAGCATGGTTTAGTGAAGACAACATAACTTTAGGCTGTGAAGATTAGGTCAAATCCCAGCTTTGGTATTTAGCAGTTGCATAATCTTTCAATACTTAGCCGTTTGGGGTCCACATTTGGGGTTTTTAATATGTTTCTTAGAGTTCAGGTGAATATTAAATATGATGCTATATGCATTGAATTTAGCACACTGACTAATATATGGTAGAGAGTTAATAATTCACAATAACTAAAAGACTTTGAAAACTTCCAAAATGTACTGCTATAAGTTTAGATTATTATGATGATTGCTTCTGTATCCAAAATTCTTAGCTTGAATGTACATATATCATTTCAAATAGAAAGTTCAGGTAAATTACCTACATATCATTACACCCCAGAAATTAATAATAAGGAAAAAAAATAGATTTGATTCAATTATAATATATCAAGCTGAACATTCCTATTGATGGGTAAACTGGATAATTAATCTCAATTTGTATTTTCTTTCCTTTATAACTTTAATATAAATGAGTACTTAGGAAAGAAGAAGCAGTTTTGAACTATGAGTTACAAAAATTTTTCTTTTCACCTGGCTCTACTACTTACTAGATCTCACTCTAGGCAAGTTACTTAGACATTCTGACTTTTGATATTTTCTTCGGGAAAATGAGAATAACAGTATTTTAATCTGAGAGGAGGAGAGTCTTTTGTGATTCATGTATATGACAAAGATTATGTAATATATTGAGTGATACAATTTGAAGGTATTTAATGATTAATAATAGATCCTTTTTAAAATTTAAGTCAGATCATGCCACTCGGCTTCTCAAAAGTCTGCAATGGTGCCCTATTTTCTAGAATAAAAGCCAGATTTCTTGTGGTGTCCTCTGAGGCCCTGAAAGATCTGTCTCCCCATTTGACCTCACCTTAAATAACTTTCCTGCTGGTCAAATGGGCTTTCTTCCTGTTTTTTGAACATACCAGGGTATTCCATGAGGCTTTTTCTCATGAGGCTGTTCTCTCTTTCCCGGGATCTCATTTTCTCAGTTAGACCTACCCCAACCCATTTAATATCCACTAAACCTGTCTACCCCCTAGCAATCCTGATCGCCTTCACCCAGCTTCATTTTTTCTTTAGCATTTATATATTAATATTCAAAATTATTTATTTACTTATTTATTGCCCTTATGTCAGCTGCTTATTTTTGTCTCTTTTTGCTAGAATATAGGCTTTATGAAGTCAGAGATTTTTGCCTATTTTGTTCTTTGGTTCACTGATATATCTATCCTAAACATCTAGAACAGTGCCTGGAATGTTCTAAGCACTCAATTAATATTTCTTGGATGAATTTTAAAATAATTAATTAAGTCTAATTTTTTAGTATGCTACCATGAAAAGAATCAACAATAGAACTTACCTTATCCTTGAAATCAATGGAATAATTAATTTTACCACACTGGCCTCTCACTATTAGCATCAGCATATTTTAGGTTGAGTTCTTGGTGAATTGGACCAATTATTGGACCAATTATTCAAACTTCTAACTTTATGTTACCTGTGATTCTGCCCTGAGCTAACTGCGTGATTTTGGGTTGATTCATTTTGCTGTCTGTGACTTAATGTACTTATCTGTGAAATGAGAGGCGTTCTACTTATTCTGTTGTTATCTCACAGGGATATCGTGTGGCTCAAGTAAATTAAAATTCTTAAGAAAGCATGATGTGACATCTCATTGATAAATATTAGTACTGTTAGGAACAGTGGAGGAAAGTTCTCTGAGAATATTATCCTAGGAGATAATATTTTTTTGAAAACACGTCAATAAAACATTGGTATGTCTTACGCATTTGGTAGTCTTCTTTCTTTGTGGGTCTGGAAATCTGAGATGGGATTGCCTCAAAATCTTGTCTAACAAGATCATATATTGAGATTAGCTAGAACTAATAACTGAACCAAATTTTCCTTTTGTTTTTATTTAAATTATTGGAGCTAACAAGGTGAGGTGCCACTTATGGATTTTTACCTTTTATAAAAGGTGTTCAAATTGTTAACTGAATAAAGGAAGAAACATTTGATTTTTGGACCCATTTTATGGGGTCATTGGAAAAGTAAATGTTGTAGACAGGCCTCATATAATTATGACAGCTAACATCCGCAATGCTCAACAGTGACAACTATTAGAAATGACAAGACTTGTTATCTAAATTATAGATTCAGTCTGGGAAATGCAGATTGAGTACCATGCTAAAATGTGTTTTAAAAAACTGTTTCTAAGGAGTTTGTGTTGAATTTCTCTCCCCTGGTGCACTTGTTTTATACTCTGAAACCTTGAAGAAACTTTACCCTTAAATCCATGAAAA